TTTTATGAGCGCTTCTGTTAATTCGCGAAAGTTTCTTTGTCGTTAACCCCAACACTGGGTAATATTCCAGCTATATGACGGCAGTGTGTAAGTAACTGAATCTGGACCAGACAATCCAGTGATCAACAGCAGCAGCGATCTACGAAACTGGTATACCATGACGTGTGTCAACCAAGTCTGCGAGTCTGGCCACCCGAATTCGTAAATCACCTCTTACGACAAGCACGGGTTACTGAAGACCAATTCTACACGGGTCTCACCCCTCACGACAAGCATGGGCTGCTCAAGACCAGTTCTAACCCGCATGTTCACGGGTGACCAATTAAACCACAGTTTCATTCGTGAATGTCGAACTCAGTACCTGATACAAAATACCAGGGAGAATAGAAGACTTAGATTATGTACAGTACAACCAGTAATTATTGAGAATTTAAAGAATGTAATATTTTTTTTCACACATTACTCACGTATTAAATATGAATATTAGCAGAACGTAACTCCAGATTCAAAGACAGGTGAACAGTTAGTATTTTGTCAAGTCACCATGGGCAGCAATGCAGGCTTCAATGTGGCGCGGCATACCACTGATCAAAGAAGTTAGAAAGTCGTGGTCCATGCTGTGCCAATATCGGACCACCTCTTCTTTCATTTCAGCAATATTTGTCAGATTTTTCTTATGGACACTTTCCTTCATAAGTCCCAAAACATTTTCTATTGGATTTAGGTCAGGGCTATAGCTTGGCCAATCTAATAATGTAATATTTTGGGTCCGAAACCAGGCCTGTGAAAGCTTTGAACGATGTTTTGGGTCGTTTTCCTGCTGGAAAATCAAAAATTTTCAATAAAACACGTGAGCAGATGGAAGTAAATGTCTCTCAAGAATATCTGTGTACCGCTCACTGTTCATATTCCCTTCAAATACACAGAGGGGCGTTGCCCCTAACACAGATATGCCACCCCCACACGTTAAATTTCGGACTGTACTTTGGGCGCTGATACAAAGGTTTTTCAGTTTGTTTGGTCCAGCAGAATTTCAGTGTATTAGGAAACAGCCACACAGAACTTTCATCTGAGAAAATCACATTGTCCCAGTTAAAATTTCTATGCTGTGAGCACCAGTTCAACCTTCGCTCCTTTTGTTCAGGTTTCATGATCAGTGATGGAATTCCTCGCCTTTTCTGCCAACCCATTGCATGCAGCTCAGTTCTAATTGTCTCCTTACAAACAGCCACAGTTCCTCTGTCAATCATATCCAGCCTTAAGTTTTCTAAATCCCTTCGTTTGATTTTAGAAACAAGAATACCAAGCCGCCTCCTGTCACCGACAGTCAATTTTCTGGGCCTACCTGCGCCTTCAATGCCATATTCGGTGCTCAATGCCATATCCATTTGCAATATTTTTCAAAACACGACACACAGTGGACAAATGGATGCCTCTTCTACTTGAAACCACTTTAGTTGATCTGATGTCCTTGTTATAATACTCTAAAATCAACTTCCTCTTCTCTAAATCATCCGTACTGAGGATCACTGAAAATGCCGTCTGCTAGCAAGTAAACCAAGGGGCATAACTCTTCACAAACTAATGAAAAAGGATTAACAGAGTTGTCTCTCTTGGATGAAACCAAGCACTTGATAGCTAGTCAAGGTTGTTTATACTAGGAATCCAATTAAACATATTCCTAAAATTCTCAATAATTTCTGGTCATACTATACAATACCCCTATCTTCAGAAAGTGTGACCTCATAACAGTACTATTGGTAGTACAGAGAACATCTTGTTAAGAGCGACAAATGAGGCAAACAGAATAACCTTTCATGCTATTTCCGTACCAATCTTTATAATAGCATGTATGCATAGAAAAACAACCAAAAACATTAGATAATCATTAACATGGGTCATAGATCATTTACATAAAGCTTATCCGTTGTTCCACTTAAACTACACCGGGTGGTCGTGTACACAATAACACGTTCGGTACCACAACCTGTTTTTTATATTCGATAGGAACTGATAGTAAAAACAATTGTGAGAAGAGAAGACAGATTGTCATTTAATAACAACAAAGTTCTTTTTACACACAATCAAACTTCTCAGTAAGGAATCAGTTTCAGGCTCACCCTGCTCTACTCACTAGACAGTGGACTGTTCCATTATACCCGTAGGTGTTACCCTAATTAACCTTCTAGTTCAGTGTCTATCAATGAACTGTCTGCCAATTGGGAGATAATCGCGCCAAATATAAGAGTTTTCCCAATGGTCAAATTATAAAAACATTATACATTAGTATTAAGTCATAAATGATTTCAACTAGGCTATCCCACCGCCCCTCCCTGCATACAAACACATGATGGGTCAAACAGTCAGGATCGTCTTCAGTGAAACCATCACCTGAGAGAGCCAAAGCAACCTCGCCATCATAGCAACCATCAACCTGGTTTCCGGGATCAGAGACCATATTATATGGTCACTGCCGGGATGTGGTGCGTTAACGCTGCATTACCCCAGGAACCATTTTGCATTTGCCATCTCTGTGCGACCGACGTGGTTCTGAAAAAGTTCCACTTTCAAAACAGCAGTTTTAAATACAACACTCTTCCATCGTAGCAATGTTTCAGCAATAGGCGATTCCACCCATGTACCCTGGATCAAATTCCTTCAGAAGACAGACGCGTAACTGACCACGTTACCATAAACCATATTTCATCTCTCAAATCAATGAAGTAACTACGGCAATTGCTGCCATATAAATCAACATGTTCATCTGAAAAGGGAATACTTCTGCTGAATCTCTCGAAAATCTGCCATGGTCCGTAAGTGTAGCTATGGAAATCTTCTGTTTGATGTGTGAACTATGACAGAGGTGAAAGATCCTATTCCATTTAACTATTATCATATTATCTTACATTGCAAGACATTAGTAACTGCTGTCTCTTTTCAAGTGGAAGAGACACAAACCTTTGTCAATATTTAGTAGTAATGCAATCATCCTGATCATTCTGACCTAGTCATGTTATAGTGATTTCAATTTAAATATGAATACATTTCTTGAGGCTACCAATTCAACATCAGACAACGTTATGGACGGTAGAAATTTCCAGCCTACAGGACCGTGTAAAAGTATTTTTACCATATATGGTTGTAAAGCTTAACCAAATAATTTCCGTCACACCTGATCACATCAGGTATTACTAACCAAATCGTAGTCATATATGGTTGGATCATGAATACATCGCTTGTGATTGTCGCACATCACATGATGTAGCTTATCAGCTGATGACCACCAATCCTCAACTGGTTATTATTTCCCGTCTTGCGGTCAAGTACGTAATGACAGAAGCTGACCACTTGTCCTTAACGGCCTAGTGATACCTCGCCCTTTGATTTAACAAAATGCGCTCTAATATTTCGAACAAGACTGTTTTTTTACCTAATACATAGCATCTAAATTCACCTAATATTCAAAGTGTAATATCTATTCTATAAAATTCAATAAAAAATTCAAAATCATACCACTCATAGAATAATTGAATAATAATCACAGACCACTAAGGTCATCCTAAAGGTCACACCGGTACTTCACTATATACCGTCTGTGGAATAACAGCTAGTAACGAAGTCAGTAACCCATGTGTCACATGATGTCAAATAAGTGTCATATAGTATTCATGGAAATAAGATGTTTTCTTATGTTAATTTAATTGTTTGAGAAATTAAAGTTCAACTTTAAAATTTTGAGTAAAAACATCCGAAAGTTTTACAGGAGAGTAAATATGTTTGTTTTCTTGTTCAGTAATACAATTACACCATATATATATGACAAATGCCAAACCATTTCATCACTGTGCAACCATTTGACACCCCACTTGAGATATTCAGTGACCACCAGTCCTCAACTGCTTACTATTTCCGGTCAAGCACTTAATGACGGAAGCTGACCACTTGTAAGTTGTTTCTTGTACCAAATCGCAAGTCCTTAAGAATGAAATCTGATAACAGCGTAATCTATTTTAAACTGCGTAGTTTTACCTCGTTCTTTGATGTAACAACATGGGCTCTGATATTTCGAACAAGACTGGTTTTTGACCTAATACATAGCATCTAAATTCATTGTCATATTAACTCTATAAAAGTCAATAAAAGATTTTGCTGTGTGAACACTTGAGTCGGCAAACTCATACCACTCATAAAATAATTGAATAATAATCACAGACCCCTAAGGTCAACCTAAAGGTAACACACACCTGGACCGGAAGGGGACTCCAAAGGGCACTTAAGGGTTCAAAACTCACTGTCCAAATCGATTAGGTCACAAAAAGGTCACACACACACACACACACGTGATTACGTCATAAAACAGAAAGAGGTGCATGCATGTGTATGAGCGTCCCCTTGTACTAGCCCAGACTTAAGCTGGTTTTATAGCAAATAACCAAGAATACCCACTCAGACACAATAAACTCCGAGCCGACCAGTCCTTGTTGTACCCATTAATGCCGAGCGCCAGGCAGGGACCAACAAGTACCATATTTTAACGTCTTTTGGTATGACGCGGTCGGGTAGCGAACCCGCGACATTCCGCTCTCTGGGCGGACGCTCTAACCGCGGAGGCGTTTTATTTTAGTCGACATGGGAAGGGAAGAACATCAACAGATCAGAACCTTGGTGGCATAAAGCGAGAGGCAGACTTACATTCAGTCCCAGAAATCAAGTTATTATGTTCTAAAATACATTTACACAATAAATAGATAAAAAATTGCTCAGTCATTCTAGACTTGAGATGGACTCCCTTCTGATGTATTGTCTGTGGTCTCGGGAATTTAAACGAATGAAAAAGGAACCCATCCCCTTTTCAATCCCCCCATTATTGTGCCCCGTGGTATTTTGTGTGGGTATAACAGTTAGATTATAGTCCATTTGAGTGAGCAATTCGATCAAGTGCAAAGATCATGCACGGAATGTCGTGTTTCGTTTCAGTACCGCCAATCCTAAATGTAACTACCCGGAGAAGATAGACGATGTCAGGTTCCTTCATGTTGTGTAGAAGACTAGCGGGTTCAAGTAAAATACTGCACAAATGTATGCAGCATGGCTGGAATCCAAAGTCCTTGCCACCTCTCACACATCCATTATGTGGGAGAACAATGTCGACAGCGTTTTCTGGCTCGTTACTTGACTTGAATTTTCTAGACGAAGGAATGGCTGTGGTTACTATGAAAAGTGGGCAGAACACTCTTCAACCTAAAGCGATGGAAGAATGGCACCAAGCTCTGGATGCAGTCGAACAGTAGGGACATTTAAGACAGATTCTGAAGCTTCAGATGAAGATGTGCGTTTTCTGAGCCATAAGTGTTTGATACATAATCCATTTAAGATTTTAAATCAAACAGCAGTGTAATAACATAACTGAACCAAAAAAATTTGTTATTGGTTACATCTGATTTTTATGTCATGTTATATCTGTAAAATATTAAATCAATATTAATTGAATAATATTGTTATACCAAATTATCAATTTATGTGTTTCCATGTGATTTTTATGAACTGTCTTTCAAATATTTCCCCTTTGTACTAAACTGGCTACTGAACACTTAATGGGTGGTGGGGTAGCCTAGTGGTTATAGCATTTGCCAGCCACACCGAAGACACAGGTTCGTTTCCCCACTTGGGTACAATGTGTGAATCCCATTTCTGGTGTCCCCCCCCCGCTGTGATATTTTTTGAATATTGCTAAAAGTGGCGTAAAATTCACTCACTGTACTCTTAATTGTGAACTGTGGCACTATTAAGTATTCGATAAGATTATGAGATGAGAGTTTACACAGCAACTTATAGTATGATACAGCAACTTACAGGGCTCGATTTAAGAGAGGTTAATCAACTTGCACCAGGTGCAACCTAAGATAAAAACCTAGTTGCAACGTAGTGTGTTAACAGCTATTAGATATTCAAAGGTTAGAAGAAAAATGAGCTGACATATTTATGCTTATAATGTTAGATTTATTGTTGATTTATCAAAAGTTGACTGCACCTTGTGCAAGCTAAGACTCATAACGAGGTTGCACTTTGTAAGATTCGGTTGCACCAGTGCAAGTAACAAAGCACTAAATCGAGCCCTGACTTATAGTATGATACTTATAGTCAGGGCTCCAGATAAGGGCCGTATCGGCGTATGTACAGATAGAAAATATGCACGATACGGTAGGAAATAATTTAGAAAACGTGGCAGATACGCACCACAGCAATGGTGTATGGTCTTAAAATCAATTACAGACGTATTTATCTGAAAAAGTATTGTTTTATTGATTATTGACCTGTTTACACAAGAGTAGCAATGTTGTGGTGCATATATAAAACAAAACACAAGATTACTGATACGCCATTATTTTCCATTCAGTACTCTAAATGTACTCCAGTACTCCTATATTGACAAAATAAGGAGTACGTACTCCTGATGTTTAAAAATTATCTGGAGCCCTGTTATAGTATGATACTTATAGTATGATACAGCAACTTGTGAAGTGTATTTTAGGGGTGTAAATGAAAATACAATATAAAGTTGAATAAATATGTTTCCAGAAACTCTGAATGCCGCGCATTAGTGACAACAGGTAATGAGAAGTTCTTCTCAAATGGCCTTGATCTTGATCATATGAAGACCTTCACAGACCAAAAGCGTCAACTGGCGGAGTACGTTGCTGAACTTAACAAACTCTGTGTACGTCTCCTGCTGTTTCCTCTTCCCACAGTAGCAGCAATCAGTGGTATGTGATCTGGCTTCGTTGTGAATAATATGCAGAGACTGATTTAACTACGGACGGCTATCGATACAGATCATGGAGATCCATAATCGTTAACTAAATATCGATCGATTATCAATAAATATCAGAAATGTTACAAAAATGTCTGAAGGACATGAATATATTTCACATCACTGGTGAGTGGTGACGTGTTTTTGTATGGATTATTAACAAAATAGCATCATGAACATAATTTAGAAGCAGACCATGAATAAAGTCCTAAATTTGTAATTTTTCCTTATCCTGACTCATGCTCTTTTGCTTGTCTTCTTCTTCTTGCGAACATAGTGGAAACACTTGTATCTCCCTAATTGAAGCTCCCTTCAATGTATAATCACTAATTAATACTCACCATGACTTGCCTCCCTTGACCCAAGCGCGGGAAAGGTGGCGCCACCCTTAGGCCACATGCTTCACTCTCTCCTTCTTCGCCCAGTGAGCAGGATGTGAGAGCGCCTGTGTCTCCCTGCACACTATATCCTTTGATTGTTCTTAGTTTATTACCTCTTATTCCTTACTAAAGAGGTGTAGCTAGTATCCTTTATCAATATGTATTGATTATTACTCGTAATTCTACTGTTTATTCACGGGATTCCGTGATTGTTCAGCTAAGTTTACGTGGATGAAAATCTGTACTGTTTGTAGATTACGTTTTTCTGCTGCTGATCCGCATTTAATATGTCCTAGCTGTACTACGCCTTGTGCGTTTACTTCACGTTGCAGTTATTGTATTAATTTATCCATTTTTGCATTTAACAAATATCGTTTTTGCGTCTTGAGACGTGCAGCAGATAGATCACGTAAACAAGCCTTAGTCATGGCCGATACATCGGACCCTCTAGCCAGTCAACTGCTGTCGGACGACCCCCTCCCGTCTGGTGTTCCGCTAGAGTTTCCCTCGGAGGAGGGGCGTGGGATGCAGTCCGACGTCTCCAAGAAGTGTCCTGCTTCCCCAGACATACCGTCATCGCAGCAGAAGTCTAAGAGGGCATCGACTTTGTCACAGCGTAAACTCCGTACCCCCAGGGCAGCGTCGACCTCCAAGGGAAGAGCTAAGAAGCCAGCTAGAACGTTCTCAGCCGAGATCCTTCCCGCCGCTGAACTCGGCCTGTATGACGACCAGCCGATCATCATACCCGATCTACGCCACAAGAAGCGACGGGTGTCAGCTACAGTAACGTCAGCAGAGATCGCCATGCAGCCTGATGTCTCTACACTGATGTCCGACGATCATCCTGAGGGGCCCGTCGCTAACATCGCAGAGAGGGCATCGACGACATCGTCGCAGACCGTCCCAGACGACATGATACAGAAGATCATGAAGATGATGGAGGACCGTTATAGACTGCAACCAGCCCAGAAGGACCTTCACGAAGGCACCAACGCAGACACTGCGACTTCCCAGAGGGACTCCGTCCAGCGTAAGCGGCCACGACCAAGCCACCTTCACGAAGGAAGTCACAGTCTACCTCCAGGAAGGACCCAGATGAACAGCCTGCACGAAAGGGTTAGAAGATCATCACCTTCCCCGGACTCGGAGGATCATCACTCATATAAAGATTCCAGAAGGAAGACTACGTCGTCTTTGGACTCAGACTCGGACCCCCCGACTTCACGAAAGCCTTCGCGAAAGTCAAGCCGTCACTCCCCAGAACCGGACACAGTTAAGGCTTCATGAAGGGCTTCACGAAGGACACCAGTAGCAGGTTCTAAATCATCTTCGTCCAGACGGTCATCTGCAGATTCCTCAAGGGCTTCGCGAAGCTATCAGCGTTCACCTCACAGATCTCCGCGAAAGTCAAGACGCAGCTCATCGGGCCGTTCACCAAGATCATATCGTTCGCCTCGCCGTTCACCTCACCGATCACCTCGCTGATCACCTCGCCGATCACCTCGTAGATCACCACATCGATCTCCACAAAGGTCTCCACACAGGTCTTCACAGAAGTCCCAAGGCAGGTCTCCTCTATCGTCACCCTGTACAGCGATAGAACCATATACACCACCATCACAAGAGCATCAACCTCTTATCGGCGATTCCATTACAGAAGACGATGGAGGCATCATCTTCTCAGACGCTGAGATACGATACTGGATGGTAAACAACCTAGACCTTTCTTCACCTTCCAAGAGTGATAACTCGGCACAGACTTATTTGATGAAGGAGGACGATGCTGATGCCATCACCTTACCACCGATCGACCCGATTGCTGCAGTACCGAAGAATTTGGACTCAGCCTTCCACAAAGCCACTAAAGTCCAAACAGCACATTTACCACAGTTCCACGCTAACAAGTTTGCAACCCACAACATGGAACCGTTCCTCAAGGCACAAGACATAGACGACAACTACAAGTTGATCAATGATGTCAAGAACAAGAACTACAAGATTGACGATCGCAAGTTGGTTCAGTTAGAAACCATTACTAGGCGGATGTTCTTTGGCCTTAATAGATCTAGAACGATCAATGAGACTCTTATCACCAGATTTCGCGTGACACGACATCTGAAGATGATAGAATGATTTACTCGGCCCTACTTATGCAGAAGAAGGACCAGCAGTTCCTAACAGATCATCTCACATCAGTCTCAGCAGCCTTAACCTTAGCCCGTCGTCAAGGCCTCCTCGCTCCTGCAACTGGGGTGAGCAGTTTACAGCTCCACTCTATACAGCCCCGTGGTCTGCTCCATCCATCTTCGACGGAGGAATAGACAAAGTCTCCAAGGAAATCACTAAGGATTCCAGCGAAGTCCTTATGATTAAGTCAATGGATACGCTAGCCAGCGTCATCAGACAGACTTCACAAAGATATTCAGGAAAATCTAAATTCACTGGATTACAGAGAGCACGGGATAGGAAGATAGCCAGTTCCAGGGGAAGAGATGCTTTTCGTCGCCCATTTGGCAACTACAGAGGAGGATCAGGAAGAGGCAGGGCACCCAGAGGTTCCCGCAACTATAAACGCTGAAAGGCAGGTTCGGAACGACTGGAGTCTTCCACCCCCAGCCGTTCCAGTACAACCGTCACAAGTGGGTGGACGCCTTCAACTATACTGGGAGAACTGGGGAATGTTACAAGACCCATATGTCTCCAACATTCTTCATCACGGATATCGTATCCAACTAAAAGCCACGCCCCCGCTGACAGTCAACCCTTACAAGTTCGACTTCCAGACACAACAACTACCAATTTAAGAGAGGCTATAACTTCCCTCCTGAACAAGCAGGCCATAGAAGTACTAGATCAAGTAAACATCGAACCAGGCTTCTACTCCCCAGTTTTCCTAGTACCCAAGAAAAACTCCAAGGAGAAATACAGACTCATCTACAACATGAGCACGTCATGAGCACGTTCAACAGAGATTATCTACGCAAACCACCAAAGTTTCGCATGATACATCTACCCCAGTTACGGCACTTAATCCGTCCCATGGATTACATGGCCAGTATAGATCTACAGGATGCGTATCTACACATCCCGATACATCCCGAATCCAAGAAATACCTACGATTTACACTAGACGGGCTGCATTACCAATGGAAAGTACTCCCATTCGGAATATCATCAGCCCCATGGTTATTTACAAGAGTAACGAAACCCATCGTCACCTACCTACATCGTCAAGGGCTACGCAGTGCGTTCTACCTCGACGACGGGATACAAGTAGATCAAGATCCACAGCGTCTCAAACTACAGTTAAACTACATCATCAAGCTACTAACACAGCTGGGATGGTTAGTAAATCTACTCAAGTCGGACCTAGTACCTTCGCAAGATCTGCAGTTTCTAGGCATTCGATTTATCACGAAGCTCAACCGTATCGTCGTTCCAGAAGACCGATGGCTCAAGATCCAACAGACCATTCCACCAGCGCTACTCTCTCCGTCACCACTACGACAATGGCAGAGTCTATTGGGTCTCCTCACGTCAGTACCACTCGTACCACCATACAAGGCGGCTGGACTGGACCCTCCAAGAGCAGCAAATCCTCTTGAAATCAGAGCCTTAGCTTCCACGCTCGCGCTACACGGTAACTGTTCACTAAATACCATCATGGAGGGATGTTTTTGGAAATCCGACATGGTGTTTGCTAATCACTATCTGAGAGATATCACCACCGAGGACGTCTCAGGTATTCACCATTTCGGTCCTATGGTCCTCGCACAGCAGTTGACAGTCCCTCGTAGACGATAAGACATAGTCTTACGAGATTATTATGTATATTTATACATGTATTATCTAGCTTAAACTCTACGGAGTTGTTAGGGCTATTGATATACCTAGCTTGTCTAGCCTTAAGCCCAGTACTGATATTTATGTACTTTTTGGATAACTTCTCCATGTTGGAGTCGTTTATATACTTTATTGCTATGTTCATAGTATGTTTTTATGGTAATACCCCGTTTTGTCTATGGCAGTGTATAAACTTATAGTTTATAGTAGCAGAAAGGATTACAATTCAGTGCCATTATAAGTTCCCGTCAGGGGGTTATTACAGATATATATATATAAATCACTAATTAATTTGGTAAATCCAAAGTCTCTACTCTTTCCCACCTCCGATTCCGTCGGATACTACAAGCAAAAGAGCATGAGTCAGGATAAGGAAAAATATGTAATTTTTAGAGTAAAATTGATATTTTATACTTATCCTGACTCATGAGGTAAGCCCTCCCATCCTCCCCACATAACACTTTGGATTTCCCTGCAAATTCAAGTGTTGGGCTCGAAAAATAAGGAGAGAGTGAAGCATGTGGCCTAAGGGTGGCGCCACCTTTCCCGCGCTTTGGTCAAGGGAGGCAAGTCATGGTGAGTATTAATTAGTGATTATACATTGAAGGGAGCTTCAATTAGGGAGATACAAGTGTTTCCACTATGTTCGCAAGAAGAAGAAGACAAGCAAAAGAGCATGAGTCAGGATAAGTATAAAATATCAATTTTACTCTAAAAATTTCATTTTTGTGTGAGAAAATTAAAATAAAAATTCTAACTGAAAAGTACTCAAAGTGGATGAACAGTATTATCGATAACACAATTTTCATATTGATAACGATTAATTATTTTTCCTATCCACGATTTTTCAGATTATCGATCATTTTTAGCCAGCCCAAGATTTAACACTGCTTTAAACTGTATTTGAGGCAAGAGGCGACTCACGGGATCAGGTCATCAGGCTCACTGACTTGGTTGACACATGTCATCGTATTCCAATTGAAAAGATGCTCTTGTTGTTGATCACTGGATTGTATAGTCCAGACTCGATTATTTACAGACTGCTGCCATATAGCTGGAATATTGCTGAGTGCAGGGTTAAACCAATAAGCCAACTAACCGAACTGTGAAACGACAGGGCCTTAGTCTGAGCCATCCATTCCCCGTATAACGAGAAATAAAGAACATGTGCAAGGGGAGAAATTTCAGTATTTTTTCAGTTTGTTTTTACATTTCCAGGCCATGCTTTTGGTGGTGGTGCTCTGATGGCGTTTGCCCACGACCTGCGTGTCATGCGACAAGATAAGGGATGGATGTGTCTGAACGAGATTCTTCTTGACGTCAGCTTCACTCCGGTCTTGCTGGCCATAGTCAGGCATGTAATGTAGAGAGTTAACTGTATCATGCAAATATGTTTTCATTGAGTTCAGAGTTTTACCAAGTTTAACTCCCCACTAATGATGATGTTGTGTGACACATCTGAGGAGCAGTAAGGGAGCATAGCTTTTGTTATTATGGTATTTGTTTTGAGAAAGATACATCTCTTGAAAGATTAGTAAGAAAGATCTCAGGAAGCTAGTAGTATTTATAATGGGGGTACGAGTACAGGGGTACCCTAATGATTTTATTTTGGGTTAACTCTGTTCCCCCAACATGACACCGGAGGCCGATTAATCAGCCAGGCAGTAGTCACGTCAAAATGAGACATAATTTTAGGAACCTACCTGACTTATGATTCATATATTAAATCTATCACATATCGCAATGTCTGAAAACACTTATTAAATTTCAATTGATCATATATTGTCAGCAGAATTAAAATTATAAACTATTTTTCGCATTGTTATTGAAAACGATTCTCGGACACATGCTTCAGCAGCGGGTCCACAATAATCCACATTGTCAAAGAGCAAAGTAACGATGTTTCGAGGGAAATCATTAAATAAATTGAATAAACTAATGAATAAAATCAACAACAGCTTACATAAAAGTTGTCAAACGTACATGTAAAATTATTATTTCCATCTTTTTGTGCGATCATGTAATGTAAGTCAAGTCACTGACAAGTGACATCTCGGTTCTCGCCGCCTGAATCTTCACGCTCGGACACGATGTTTAATGCGAAAATATATGCATGAAGCATTTTTGTCACAGGTCATAACCTAGCACGGTACGTCCAATAAGTTCCATAATTTACTTATAAGTAGCGATTTCTTGCTTAATATGTTCAGAATAGCATTATTTTACCCAAAACTTTCGTCTAAATCTAAAAGTTTTTGTTTACAAGGACGGTATCCATTGCAGGAATATGATTGGCTGCCTTAGGTCACGTGTCTGATTTTGACCAATCACGACCCTTATAGCAGACTGTGGCGAAAAAAGCGTCATTAGAAACCAATCTTTATCCAATAAAATTGCTTCTTACAACTGTGAAAATACTCTCGGCAAGGGGACAGTGATATTGTTGATGTCAGAGCTTTCGAACGATACCCGACATCAAACAATTTACCTTGCATGTTATTCATACGAAGCTTCGAAAACAGAGGTATTTTCCGTTGTGTGTCATGTTACCGAGCGGAAAGACACTGATATCGGGAAATAGGCGACGATACATATTATTTAAGAAATCTTTTTATGATATTTTTCTGATTACATAAAAATGAAAATATAAAAGCAAAAGGCACATGCATGTTATGACATGTCACAAATGGAAATAAATCGCCATAGGTTTTTCTTCTTTTGTGGTTTATCAGGACTTAATAAATGTAAGCTTGCATTTTCATTAAAATATAGATTTATTTAAGTTGTAGTTGTATTATTTGAATAATATTATAAAAATAAACTTCATATTTATCAACAGTGGGATTAGATCTTTTAAATGGTGTATGAGATGTAGCAGCAATAACGTTTTACAAGCTTATGATTTCCTTCATAAACATAGGCTTTATCTATGGCATTAGAGTCTCTGGGAACGTACGACTCTTTCCAGATTTCTGTTTTGGGGATGGATTAAATCTTGCAAGTACTGGTGTGAGAATAGTCGTTCGGCTTAGGTGCGATTGAATCTCTCGACGATGGCTTGGCTGCGGTGGGCTCAGACAATCCTCGTCTCACCATGAACTTGCGACCGGGATCGATTTGCAAGAAAGCAGGCCCAGTCAAGCAACTGCGTTTCTATATGCGTTCTAATGCTTTGGCGACTTCGTTCGAATCAATGGTTCCGCTTCCTTGTAGCGACTGGCAACATCATCGATTGTCAGGGCATACTTGTAGGTTTTACGTCTTACCCTGTCCTGAGGTAGAAACAGGAGGTCGGCTTGATGCACGCGATTCGGCGTCGAAATGTAGAATTAATCGAATACATCTTAGCTCTTAATCCGATGTATTCCGCAATGGGTGTCCCAGCACATTCGTCTTTCATTTTTTCGAGGACTTTTTTAGTTATTTGGTCGTCGAGTGGATGATCGGGAGAATAAACGCCCGTATCGTACAGGTGGATGTGTTTCGCCATGTCCTCGTACACGTCCTCAGTTTGTATATTCAACAACAAGGAATCGGTGTCGGTGTACAGCAGCTCGCATCAATCGCTGTATCGTGTCTTGAGTTGGTTGTAGTAGAAATTGTACATCAAGTGTTTGGATAAGTCGAGAATGCTCATCCCCACGTAGACCGGTCGATTGAGCTTGATATGACATTTAGTCATGTGTAGAGCTGCCAAGTCGTTTTCAAATAGCTTGCTTCGGTTAAAGGTCGGACTCGCTATACGTTTTCTCATATTTTTTTTTCTCGTGAGATCGCACAAATTTCACGGTGACTCTTTTTCCCAAGTTTTCCATCGTTTTTCCAAACACCGAGTTGTTCATCAGTTTGTAGAGGTTTTTCTCAAACTTTATGGAACAAGTTTTTATGGATAACAACTTCTTTATTTCATGAGTGCGACGTTTCGATACAGATTCTTGTACCGTTGTCAAGCAAGAGTGATACATGACGTGGAGGAGCTGCATATTTATACTGTGTATAACAATGAAACTACATACATTGTAATAGACATCGCACCTATTGTATAAACATCCCCTTTATTGTACCACTCCTGTATTTATACATCTCTGGCTTCCTTTCACTATCCTTTGTGTACTCACTGGCTTCATCAGCTTACTGCTTAACCAATTACTGCAATTATGTTGTTTCCTTTGTCAATTACAATGTATGTTGTTTCATTGTTATACACAGTATAAATATGCAGCTCCTCCACTTCATGTATCACTCTTGCTTGACAACGGTACAAGAACCTGTATCGAAATGTCGCACTCATGAAATAAAGAAGTTGTTATCCATAAAAACTTGTTCCATATTGTACGTCTCAACTTCTAAAATGCCACTCAAACAAGTTTTCTCAAACTTGCTGGTCGCTTTTTTTCTCAGATCCATGTTAAATCGAATGTAAGGCTCCATCCAGGGACTTTGATCGAATTAGAGCACTCGATGTATTTTCTTCAGCTTCATACCCAACGACAAGTACAGCTGCAGGTTATGGTAGTGCACGATGTATTTGGTTTTATCCATCAAGTTGGGTATGAGTTTTTCCACGTTAGCCAGTTTGTAACAACAAGTTTAGTTGTTATTCGGACATCCAGTCTTTGTCAACTATTAATCGTTCGGGAGCGAGCAGAAAACTGTTGTGTGACTCGTGTAATTCTTGGGGGTACTCCAGGTTAACTTCGAGTATATAGCCTTTGTTCGAACCCGGGGCAGCGGGGTAGCCTAGTGGTTCAAGCGTTGGCTCGTCACGCCGAAGACCTGGGTTCGATTCCCCACATGGGCACAATGTGTGAAGCCCATTTCTGGTGTCCCCTGCCGTGATGTTGCTGGAATATTGCTAAAAGCGGCTTAAAACTAAACTCAGTCAGTTGGTCGAACCATGTGGGGGGAAACCCATTCAAATCCCCCAGTGGGTAAAGGTTGACTAGTAGCCCAGCTGTATGGATTATTAACATCGAGATAGAGTATATGTTTTACTCGAGTCATAGCCTTCCACGTTTTTATTGTTGGCTTTAGCGTATCGTTTAGCAGCCATCAAAATTCCACCTCGCAGCCCTTTCTGGATAAATAGGTGCATATCGTGATTCGTTAACAGTTTCTACTCTACACCAGTCTTTTTTAACAAGGCATCCCAAGAGAGACCCGGGCTGGAGAAATACCACGCCGTACTGTTTCAGACATGTTTTTCTGAAAATCTCAAATACATTCTTACAGCCTAGTTTATCCCATACGTAGAGGGCGTGCTCGTAATCATCCTGTGATATGTTCGAGTCGGCTTAGCGACTATAAAATGATTCGATTGGAGGTAATTTCGTTTCCGTGAATCTAGTCCAATCGTCCATGTATTTGTAGGGGTACACGCCCTTCATCATCAACAAAAGTTGAGTTGACACGTCAGTGTATCGATTCGTGATAGCGAAGACATCCGGGTTGTTCGCCTTCACTAAACTGCAGAGCTACGGCAGGAGAAACTGAACACTGTCGATGAATCTCAGGCCGTCTAAGGAGAACAAATGTATTTTTCCATGTTATTGGGGATGCACGTTAACTTGCCGTCGATCTTCGAGATGGCCTGCATGATGAGGTGGGCATCATAACCGCAAAGATTATGAAACACCATGGGGATTTGTATTGTTTTGGGATTTATTCTAAGCTTCAAGTTACACACATTGTGAGCAGCGCGCCTCAGTATTGACCTGTGACATGACAATGATCTCTCACAACATCACCGTTCAGGGATTGGCCACACATGTAGCAACTCTTAGCCTTCTTATGAGCTCTCCAGTCATCCTTCGTCATACGCACGATGTTGGATAAGGTTGTCAGAATCGTTTTTTCCTCGCGTTTGGACCTCGGTAGATCACGGGAGCGTTCATTTTTCCGTCACATCGGACGACCACGTACCTGACCCGCAAGCTTCGTGTTCCTTGGTTTTGTACGTGAAACTTTGTTCGGTTGTGTTGGACGTGTCATGGTCGATATTTTTTATGAGGGCTTCGAAGTCGGCGTAGATGACGTAGGGTACGGACATTTGATGTTTATGATTGATAAATTTTAGCGTGTTGTCATTTTCTTTAGGCATGTCGATCCTGATCACAGTCTCTCCCACACCTCGACAGTCTTCTTCATGTGCTTCTAGTAGTTCAGCACAACTGTACCCGTGCAGACATCTCTCACAAAAATACTTCTTCACTTTGTGAGAGGATTGGGTCGTACAACAGCCTGCTCAAACTTTTAATCCATGCGTAGTGAAATTTATCATCTTTTTCGATGAGGAATGAATTGATCCTGCACACGGTTTTATCTATCACAGGGCTTATCCTGTGCAAAATAACC